TTTTAGCTGAAAAGAAAACAGAAGGTTAGGGCTTCCCTGGTGGCACAGTGGTTGAGAGTCCGCCTGCCGATGCAGGGGATGCGGGTGACATCTGGAATGGTTAGGGTGGGTCTGAGTGAGCATCCCCTTTCATGGCATCTGCCCTAAGTAGTTGTCCTAGGAATTGTAAGCAGTGGAAGGCTAGGTTTCTCTGATCGTGGAAGGCAAGCTGCTTCTACTGGTAAAGGAGGCTCAGAAGGGCTGGGAGGTTTAAGTTGGTCAGTTTCATCCAGGTACAACCAGATGTCTCCATTCTAAGTTTGAGGATCCCATTCTTTACTAATACATGTCCTGAATTTCACAGGAGAAACTTGGCGAGACTCTGAATTCAACTATTGATTTAATTCAACAGCCCCCAAAATTAAATTTTGTGCCTGATTTTCAGCTAAATCAGCTCTGTGGCTACAAAAAAAAAAAAAAAAAGAGAGAAGGTTAAAGAAAAGTAGGTCTCAAACTATTATGTATAAAATAAACTACAAGGATATATTGTACAACACAGGGAATAGAGCCAATATTTTAAAGTAACTATAGATAGTGTATAACCTTTAAAAATTGTGAATAACTATATTGTACACCTGAAACTTATATAATGTTGTACCTCAAATATACAATTAAAAAAAAAAACAAAAGAAAAAAAGTAGGTGTGAGACTGAGTACTCCAGGAAGAGCAGGGATTGGACAGCAGGAAGAACTCCCCAGGGTCCTGGTTCAGCCATCATGCACAGAAACCCTCTGACCACCACCCTCCTCTGCATATAGCTGTAGGGACTTCCAGTCCTATGTTCGTCAGTGAAAATCCCGCACTTATATCTGTAAGCCAGACAGGGGCTGTCAGGGATGTGGCATCTTCATCACCCAAAATCCACGGGAGATCAAGCCAGGAGAACATATGATCTGCCAGCAATACATCTCCAAGGTGAAGGGTGCCTCAGGACCACCAGGTCCCTCTGCCAGCACTGGGTGCCTCATCTCTCCCAAAGCCAGGGAGGAAGACAGTTTTAGGCTCCTGTCCTTCCTGCCATCCTCGTTGTCTGGGAGGCAGCATGGGCCATGGTTCAGAGCCAACCTGCTCTGAACCTGAGTTTCTCTACTTTCTAGATATGTGATCTTGGGCAAATTTCTAACTTTTTCCATGCCTCAGTTTCCTCACCTGTTAATGGGCATAAAAACAGTAACTACCTTATATGGTTACTGTGGAAAAAAAATTTTTTTTTGGTTACTGTGAAAATTAAATGAGTTATTATGTATTTGAAGTGCTTACAACAGTTTATGGTACATAGTAAGTACTTCAAAAGTACAGTCGGCCCTCCCTCCATATCTGCAGATGTGGAACCCGTGGATATGGAGGGCTGACACCATTTTATACAATGGACTTGAGCATCCGTGGAGTTTGGTATCCATGGGGGGTGGGGGTCCTGGATCCAATCTCCTGCAGATACTGAGTGACCACTGTATTATTACTTTTCCCTGGTGGATTTGCATGCTCGCAGCCCTTCCTCATTGATGGCTTCAAGTTTGACATGCGAATCTATGTCCTGATCACATCCTGTGACCCTCTTCAGATCTCCATGTATGAGGAGGGCCTGGCCGGCTTTACCACCATGCCCTACATGGAGCCCAGCCACAGCAACCTGATAAGAGGCCAGCTGGGGAACTTACCTGGCAGTCCAGTGTTTAAGACTTCGCCTTCCAATGCAGGGGGTGTGAATTCGATCCCTGGTCGGGGAGCTAAGATCCCACATGCCTCCTGGCCAGAAAACCAAAATATAAAACAGAAGCAATGTTGTAACAAATTCAATAGAGACTTTAAAAAATGGTCCACATAAAAAAAAAAAATTCTTTAGAAAAAAAAAAAATCCTAAAAAAAAAAAAAAGAGGCCAGCCAGCAGCACTAGGGTGCAGGGCAGCACCCTCTTCTCTTCCACTGCCACGAGTGCTGAGGTTCTGTGGAGAAACCAGGTAGAGGGGCTTGTCACGCAGCTAGCTTGTCACACGTGAACAACGAGTGAAGCCTGGAGCGCCTTGGCACCTGGCTGGAAGGACAGCATTGAGGGGGTGCTGACTGCAGAAATGCCTGCAGGAAGGGCACACCCCTTCCCCAGGAGCTTACAGGACAGTCCTCCGTGAAGAGGGACAGGAGATGAGCCATCCAGGGTGGGGTAGGTAATCGGAAGGCAACGAATGGCTGGAGAGAAGAACTGCATGGAAGTAGCCTGACCACAGGGCCACTCTCTTCCCAGGATGACATCTGCATGCACCTGACCAACTATGCCGTCAACAGACACAATGAGAATTTTGTCCGGGATGATGCTGTGGGCAGTAAGAGGTATGCCCTACTCTGTTTTCTCCTCTTTTTCTGCCCTTTAGCCCCACAGTCTCAGCAGAGCTGAGTTGGCCCTTGGGAGGTTGAGCTGGCTCAACCCTTATAGACCCCTGTCTTGTGCCTGACCACCAAGTGCAGCCCCAAACCCCACGCTATAATTAAACCCTGCTCCAAGCTGGCGGCAACCCCTTAAAGCACAAGGAACCTAGGCATGGAATTAGGATTAGTGTTAGGGAGCTTCCTGTCTGCAGCCCGGCCCCACTGATCTTCCTCTGAGCACTGGGCCTCACAGGAAGCTGTCAACACTCAACGCCTGGCTGTGAGAGCACAGCTATGACCCCCGAGAGCTGTGGGGAGATATTGAGGACATCATCATCAAAGCCATCATCTCGGCACATTCTGTTCTTTGCCACAGCTACTGAACCTGTTTTCCCCAGTATCTGAGTGGAGGTACATGTGCCTGTTTTGAGATCCTCGGTTTTGACATCTTGCTGGACCACAAGCGGAAGCCCTGGCTGCTGGAGGTGAGGATTATCTCCCGGGCTTTGCAAAACCAAGGTCCACCCCTGAACAGGACACCTGGGATAGGAGTGTACTCAAGTGGTGGAACACAGAATGGGGGATGCAGAGGTACTAGGGTGGATAGGATCTAGCAGAAGGTGTAAGACATTTGCACTTTTGACCTGCTAAATCCAATCTTGGTGGTCTCTGGCCTCCACCGTAGGAACCCAGGTTTTGGATCCCAAAAGTTCCTCATGTAAGCCTTGCCTTTAAGGACACCATCGCTATAGAGTCAGGCTGTCTGATTTGCTCTCACCAGCCTATGCACTGGAGGGATCTCTGTGGCAGAGTCCTGTGGTCTTGGAAGTCAGAATATCCAGCTTCCTTGGCTGAGGCCACGAAGCAGGGGGGGCACTGGAGCGGGATGTCTATCCTAGAATCTCCAGCTGGGCCTGCAAGAATCATGACCTGCTCAGGTGGTCTAGGAAGGGGATGGATAATGACTCCTCCCGGCAGGTAAACCACTCTCCAAGCTTCACCACCGACTCACACCTTGATCGAGAAGTGAAGGATGCACTTCTTTGTGATACCATGACCCTTGTCAACCTCCAGGGCTGTGACAAAAGAAAGGTGACAGAAGAGGATAAGTGGCGAGTCAAGGAGCGGCTTTTCCAGTGCCACCAACAGCCAAGAGAAGCCAGGGGCCTCAGGTGTTTGACGTGTGTTTAGTTGTGTAACTTACCTTATTACTTTCCTGAGAGTAAAAGTCCTTCTCTAGATGCAGAAGGCAGTCTGGGGTTGATTAGCTATTAAAAACATTTTTTTTTGCATCGATAATACACCACATAGCATAGATAAGTGATGTATTATCTATGCAAATTCCAAAGACACAGTGAATAGTCTCTCTCCTACCCTCCTCCAGCTACTCAGTTTTTCTCCCTGGAGCCAATCAATGTTCCCTGGGTCATGTGTATACTTTCACAAACATTTAATGCACATATATACATGTATTTATATAAATTGTTTTCTTCCTTTACCCAGACAATAGCATAACTTTCACACTGTCTGTATCCTACTTACCAATGCATTTTACAGCTATTTATGCATTTTATAGCTATTTCCTATTAGCATGTAAGGAACTTTATGGGGTTTGTTCTTTTTTTTTTTTAATTTTCAACAAAGCTCCTCTAGAAACCATTACCTAAGAAGGTTTATAATTATGAAACAGAGAAAACAGTTTAGTCATTCAATAATAGGTTATTGTTTAAATCAGTATTGTTTACCCACTGTTGTTTTAATTGTAAGATGGGTTACAAACATGGTAATGTGTTGCTGATACTCAATTATAATTTGTTAATAATAAAAATGAACTTGAGTAGAGTGAGGATTATTCCTGTAATAGTATCACTCTTCACCACTTGCAATGCAATATGCAGGCCAGTGTGTATATGATTTGCCATGATATCCTGAGGACCTGGCACACAGTAGGCACTCAAATGTCTGTGTGAATGAAGGTGAAGTATAACTGTAAATACCCTAGGTATTCCCACGAGACTGGACTGTGCACATGTCTTTCAATGAGGAAAAAATGTTGAAAACTACTGGACTTAAAAAACAACTACAATCATAGAATCAGAATACTAGGCAGCCATTTAAAAATGTTATATGATCCCATTAACATCTAAAACAAAGAAGGAAGGAAAGGAAGGAATAAAGAAAGAACAAGGTAATGAGTGGCAAAGCCAGGGTTCAAACTCAGTCCTGCCCTAGAGTCCATGCATAGCCAATATGCTTATTTCACAGTAAGATTAGAGGTTTTTATCTTCCTTTTGCTCTTCTAAATTTTCTGTAATTAACAGATACTACTCTATAATCAGAAACCTAAAAGACTATGATAACTTGGAGTGCTAGTTTACAAGTGGACACCATTGCACTTAAGATGAAAACCAGAAGCCTGCTCCCTAACTACAACGGGTGAGGGCGTGTGGCAAAGCAGTTCAAGCCCAGAAGTCACGCCCTCAGACGGAAGCGGAAAAGACGCGCCAGCCCCCTCAGCTTCCCGCCCAATTCCGGTCCCGCCCCCCGGCTTCAGGCGCTACCCTGTGGCGGGGGTCGGGCAGGGCTTTTCCTCGTCGACATGGCGGTTGCTTTGAACTGCTTGCTGGGCGGGGGTGTCCGTGCCGCGGTCGCTCGCTGTGGGTTTGCTACCCGGGGCGTGGTGATCCCGGGATCTGTCGGCCGTGAGCCGGACCCCGATTCCGACTGGGAGCCGGAGGAGCGGGAGCTGCAGGAGGTGGAGAGGTACCGGCTCCTTCTCGGGCCCTCAGCCTGAAGCAGGGCCTCGGGCCTGGGCGCCCCAGGCCGCGCCCCCTTGGCGCCGGGCGCCCTGCGGCGGCCCTTATTTCTCACCAGTTGTCAGGGGCACAGGGGCAGCTGTTAGCTCCTTTGGGACCACGAGTCCCTTCACCAAGGACGTATTTCATCACCCGTTTAAAGAATTCGGCAACAGCTTATGGGCTGTTATTGTTCTTGGTGTTAGATTTCTGGGGCGGTGTTCAGAGCAGGTCTAGGCTGACAGACATGGCCAGGTTGTCCTTGCAAAGAGAAGCGGGCTGGGCACTCTGACTTAGCCCAGGGCTCTCAAACCACCCATCTGGCATCCACGCATGGCTTCTGCCATTGGTTCTCTCTCCCAGCGCCCTGAAACGACAGAGAAAAGCTATCCGGTTCCAGAAAATTCGGAAGCAAATGGAGGCGCCAGGTTCCCCGCCCAGGACCCTGACGTGGGAAGCCATGGAGCAGATCCGGTAAGACTGTTGGCAGTTAGGATCTGCTGTGATGAGAAGTGGAGGATACTGGGGCTTAGAACTTAGAACGTTGTTTTTGTATTTTTTGCTTTTTATCTTTCAAGATTTCTAACAGAAAAGTCAAGTAATAAGATAAACGTCGATGAGCCCGCCATCTAGATGTAATAGTTTTTAACGTTATGACACGGTTCGTTTTTTGCCGAAATTTTAAAATAGTAAGTTACAGGCGTCACAACATTTAACCCGTATATAGTAAGTAGATCATGACGTTCTTGATCTAAGGACCAGGGATGGAGCTTCCATGGTTACGTTGCTCTGAAGAGAGGATCCGTATCTTAGAAAAGAGATCCTTTTTTAAATTTTAAGCTTTTTGTTTTGAATAGATAATACATATGGCTCAAAATTAGAACAGTATAACAGGGCATATGCATTGAGAGGTGTTAATCCCCCCTAGTCTCCTATGGATACTATTTTTAATAGTTTTTTGGGTCACTTTCTAGGTTTCCTTGTGCAAATAGAAGCAAGCACGTATGAATACAGAATTTTATTTTCACTTCTATAATCACAAACAGTAGAATACTATAAATGCTGTTCTGTACTTTGCTTTGTTCGCTTAATATATTCTGAAGCTCTTTTCACTTCCCAAGAGAGAGCTCCTCATTCTTTTCTGTAGATGCTTAGTAAACTGTAGTTTATTTTACCAGTCTTTTATGGTGGGCACTTGAATTGTTTCCACTCACTTGCTGTAACAAATAGTGCTCCAGTGCATAACTTTGTATATTCTAAATATCTGCCAGAAGTATTTACACTTACATAAATGTATGTGTTACATACCTTCCTAGAAGTAGGGTTGCTACTGAACCAAAGGGCAAATGGACTTGCATTTTGATAAATATTGCTAAATAGTCCTTTGTAGGTCATGTTCCTTTTTCCATTCCCATCAGAATAACTCTGGAATTGAGACTTAGAATAAAGGGGGTTTTACAGAGCTGATCAAGATTTTATGTGCCTGTAGCAGCTTTCTCCTGTCAGCTTCCTCTCCTATCTTGAACACCAGCCTTTTCAACCCTTCCATCTTCCCACCTGTCACCTCCCCTTTTGTGATCAATAAGTATCCTTTTATTTCAGAGAAAAAACAGGCTATTAGGTAAGAACTGTTTAAAGCTTCTTGGTCTCCTCCTTACCTTCCACTCTCAATCTTGTACTCTGTTCACACCTCTGGGGAAGTGGTAGTCCTTCACTTGTCTAGGACCAGTCCTCTGGGTGCTCTAGGTCAAATCCCTACCTAATTTCTCAGGGACCTACATCTGTCAACTTAAGGTTGTCCATGTTGTGTGCCGGTCTCAGTCTGTCAATAACCAGTGTTGTGGCTGAGCCAGCCCTTGTGGTTCTTAAGACTGCAAGATGCCCTTCGGCAATAACCATCAGAAAACTGCCAGGTGGGGGGGGGGGGGG